GCGCTGCCTTTCTCGTGTGGCGAAACGGTCGCTCGCGTGCGGCTTCCGCGGCTGGCGCGACGCCGCCGCGGCCCTCCGGGCCCTCGAGGACCGCCTCGACCGCACGATGCGCCGCATGGTCCACGGCAAGGTCCACGGCGCCTGGGCCACGTGGGCGGACAAGACGCGCGCGTACAAAAACACGCGCGCGCTCGCCTACCGCGTGCTCTCGCGCATGGGCAAGCTGCGCCAGGCCGCGGCCCTCGCCCAGTGGGTCGCCTTCCGCGAGAGCGCCGCCGCGCTCGCGCGCGGCGACGCCATCGTCAAGCGGTGCGCGGCGCGGCTCGCGCGCGGCGACCTCGCGAAAGCGTGGTTCCAGTGGCGCGGCGTCTTCCTCGCGGCCGCGCGCGTCGAGGGCTCGCTGGCGCTCCGGTCCGTGGCGCACAAGTCGGGCCTGCTGCGCGTGCTGACGCTGAATTTGCGAGACTGCGCTCGCGGCCAGCTCACGCGCGCGTTGTACTGCTGGAAGGACGTCGCCGCCGCGCGCGGCGCGGCCCGGGCGCGCATGCGCGCCGTGGCGCGGCGCCTGCTCAACGCGAAGCTCGGCGCGGCGCTGAACCAGTGGCGCGTCGCGAGCGGCGCCAAGGCCGCGTTCGCGCGGCGGCGGACGCTCGTGCGCCGCGTCGTCGGCCGCGCGAAGCGGAAAGACCTGAGCCTCGGCTTCTCCAAGTGGCACAAGATCGACGCCGAGGCGAAAAGAAGGACCGTGGTCCTGGCGCGGGCCGCGGCGAAGCTCCGGCGCGTGGCCGAGGTCGCGGCTTTGAACGCGTGGGTCGCCGGCGTCCGCGAGGCCAAGGCCAAACGCGCCCTCGTGGGCCGCATCCTCGGGCGGCTCCGCCACGTGCTCGAGCACGCGGCCCTCGCCGCCTGGAAGGACTCCGTCGAGGACGAGCGCATCGCGGAGGCGCTCATGATCCGGGTCACGTCGCGCATGCTCCGCGCGAAGCTCTGGGCGGGCTTCGCGGCCTGGCGGTCCAAGGTCGCGCTCCTGCTGCGCATGGGCGGGACGCGGGCCGTGACGAAGCGCATCGTCGCCCGCTTCCGCCGGGGCGAGCTCTGCGCGGCGCTCCGGCAGTGGCGCGCGGCGATATCGCGGATCCGCCGCGACGTCGCGCTCGTGGGCCGCGTGCTGGGGCGGCTGACGAAGCGCGCGGAGGCCGCGGCCTTTGGGTCGTTCAAGGCCCACTGCGCCGAGGTCGCGCGGCAGGAGGGTCTGATGGCGCGCGTCGTGCTCCGTTTGGCGTCGACGCTCGAGCACTCGGCGCTGAACCAGTGGCGGTCGTTCTGCGTGCTGCGGGACCGCGAGGACGGCCTCATGCTGCGCGTGCTGGGCCGCGTGGCCCACGCCTGGGAGGCGTCGGCGTTCCGCGCCTGGGCGGCCGCGGCATCGGCCGCGGACGCCGACGACCGGCGGCGGACCGCGCTCAAGCGCGCGGCGGGGCGGCTCCGGTCCAAGCGGAGCGCTCGGGCCTGGCGCGCCTGGCGCGAGTTCGCCGTCGCCGCGGGCCGCGCGGCGCGGGACGCGGCCCTGGACCGCGTGAAGCGGTCCGGCGCGCTCGTGCGGCTCGGCTGCGCGGCGCGCGAGCGGACGCGGGGCCTTTTGTCGCACGCGTGGCACGCCTGGCGGGCCCACGACGGCGAGGTCTCGGGGGCGCGGGCCCTCGCGCGCAAGTGCGCCATGCGCATGCTCCGCGCGAAGCTCGCGGCGCCCTTCCTCCGCTGGCGGACCGGGGCGCGGCTCGAGGCGCGGCGCGAACGATTGATCCGCAAGACCGCGGGGCGGCTCCTGCGGCGGACGCTGGCCATGGCGGTCAACGCCTGGCGGACCCTGCTCTTCGAGGCGGCGCGGGACCGGCGGCTCATGCGCCGCGTGCTCCTGCGATCCACGAAGGCGCATCTCTACGCGCCGTTCCGCGAATTCGTGAAACGATGCGGCCGCGCGGCGGACGCCGAGAAGGCGGCGGCGCGGCGCGAGCGCGTCGTCGCCAGGGTGCTCGGGCGCGTCGTCGCCCGGGACCAGGCCGCGGCGTTCCGGGCCTGGACGGCAAACGCGGCGTCGCTGAAGCTTTTCGACGCCGAGGCGGCCGCGGCGGCCGCGAAGACGCTGGGCCTCCTGCGCGTCTTCGCGCGGGCCTGCGGCGACCGGGGCCGGGCGCTGACCCTGGAGGCGTGGCACGCGTGGAACGCGGCCGTGACCCTCGAGAAGCGCGCGCTGAAGCGACGCGTCGACGCGTGCGCGGCGGCCAGGCACGTGCTCGTCGCCCTGCGCGCGAAGACGACGCACCGGTCGCTGTCGCGGGGCTTCGTCGCCTTCCAGCGCGGCGCCTGGCGCGACGCGACGGGGTCGTCGCGCGCGTTCGTGGCTCTGTGCGGCGCGGCCTTGGCGAGCCGCGCGCTCCGGTTGCGCCGCGCGGCGTTCCGGACCTGGGCCGACCGCGCGCGGAGCTTCGCGGCGGCGCACCGCGTCGTGGCGCGGCTGCTGCGCGGCGTCGGCGCCCACGCGCTGCGCCGGGGCTTCGCGACGTGGGAGGGGTACGTGCTCCGCGCGTCGTGCGCCGAGGCCGCGGCGCGGCGCGTGGCCGCGCACGTGCACGTCGCCACGGTCGTCAAGCCCGCGTCGCGCGCCTTCGCGACCTGGCGCCGCCACGCGAGCCTCGCGACGCGCGAGGCCGCGTTCGCGCTCGCGGTGGCGGTGCAGCGGCGGCCCGCGGAGATGGCGAACGCGGGCCTCGCGGGGGCGCTAGCCGTCGCGCTCGCCGGCGCCGCCCGGCGCGGCGGGCCCCGACGCGCCTTCGACGCCCTCCGGCGGCGCCGCGACGCCGCCCGGGGCGCGGAGAGCGTCGCGCGGTGGCTCGCGTGTTCTGACGCCGCGGCGGTCGGCCGCTCCTTCGGCGCGTGGGCCGACGACACGCGGGCGAAGATCGACCGCGACGACAACCTCGCGGCACGCGTGCGCCAGCGGGCGCTCCTGCGCGCCTGGCTCCACTGGTGGACCCAGGTCGAGGTCGTCCGCGAGCTCCAGTCGCTCCAGCGCGGCGTCCGCGCGCTCGTCCGCGTCCGCACGAGCCACGCGGCGAACTAGCGCCGCCGCGCCCCCTCTCCCCGCGACGCCCGCCTTGCACGCCCGCGTCGTCTAAGCTCGCTCCCTCTTACGGACCTCTTACGACGTGTCTTAGCTATAGAGGGGCAACTGGGTTCCCTGAGGGACCTGCACCCGCCTGCGGGCCGACCTTGCCTCGTCAAGAGAACCGAGCGCGAGCGCTTGGCCAGGGGTCCGCGCGTGAGGACCTGTTGAAGTTCAAGTTGCATCCAGCGCCGAGAGATGGCGCTTGCGCTGGGCTGCTGAGTCTGGCCTGAGCGCTTTGCTCTGGGCTGCTAAGTCTACCCGCGTCAGCTTGGGCTCCGATGGGCTCGTTCTGGTCCTCCGAGACCGCGCTCGCTTTCGGTCTCGTCCTCGCCGCCGCCGCTTTCGCCTACAGCCCGGTGCGGCCGCCGTTCTGTGCCTCGAAGCCGCGGCGGCTCGCGGCGCCGGCGGCGCACGGCGCGAGCGGCGGCGCGGGCGCGGTGTCGGCGCTCTGGCGCTACCCGATCAAGGGGTTCCCGGCGGACGCGCTCGACAGCGTCGCGCTCGCGCCCGACGGGACCTTCCCGTCGGATCGGCTCTACGCGTTGCTGGACGTGGCCGACAGCGACGGCGCATTCGATGAAGGAGAGCCAAAATGGGTGCACAAGCAACACTTCCACGGCGCCTTCCGCTCGCGGCCGGCGCTCGCCACGTTGAACACGACGTTCCGCGACGGCGTCCTCGAGTTCCGGGGCGAAGAGCGCCTGTCGGCGCGCCTCGACACGGCCGGCGGGCGCGCGGCCGTCGAGGCCGCCGCCGCGAAGCGCCTCGGCCGCGACGTGCGGCTCGTGACCGGCGGCGAGACGCACCAGTTCGGCAACACGCGGTCGGGCGTCAAGTCGCACGGCGACACGCGCACCATCCACCTCGTCAACGCCGCGTCCGTGGCGGCCGTTCGCGCGGCGACGGGCCTCGACGTCGACCCCGCCGTCTTCCGCCCCAACATCGTCCTCGACGGCCTCGAGGCCTGGGCCGAGGAGGCGTGGGTCGGCGAGGTCCTACGCGTCGGCGGCGCGACGCTCGAGGTCATCTCGCGCACGGTCCGCTGCGACGCGATCAACGTCCACCCGCGGACCGGAGAGCGCTGGCCGGGGAACCGGGACCTCGTCACCGAGATCGCCGACAACTTCCCGGCGGTCGGGCCCTACCTAGGCCTCTACGCGCGCGTCCTCGACGGCGGCACCGTGTCCATCGGCGACGCCGCGCGCCCCCTCGTAAGCTGAGCGATATGCCCCGCTCGGGAGGCGCGACTCGTCGGACGGCGATGCCGCCCGCCGCCCGCTTATTTTGAAGCCGACGCCGCGTCCCTCCTCGGCGCCGCCGCGCGCCTCGGTCGGAAACAATTTAAAGGGACTTCTTCTGGCTCGCCTTCGGCGACACAATCTCCGCGGCCTTGTTGGCGGCCCGCGAGAGCTTCGGCGACCGGAAGAAGCCGAGGAGCGACGACGGGCTCGCGGCCTCGGTGGGCGACGGCGGCGCGTTCGGGTCGACGCCGCGCTCCGCGGCCTCGAGCTCGAACGTTCCCGTGCGCGTGATGCGGTTCGGCGACGCGTCGGTGTCGTCGTCGACCATCTGGTTGAACTGGTCGCCGACCGACTTCTTGTCGGCCATCGCGCCTCCGAGTCGACCGCGGCTTCTCGAGCGCGGCGGCGGCGCGTTCGGTCGGCTGAACGACGGTGCGCGCCCTCGCGTCGACCGCGAGCGTCGCGAGGGCGGCGGCGGTGGGCGCGGACTCGACCGGAACCGTGCGCGACGTGCGACGCCTTAGGTCGTTTCGACGGGCGAGACGTCGTCCAAAAATCGACTTGCCACAAAAACTCGCGGCCTGGCCGCTTCGAGCGCCTCGAGCCGCACCACCGCGCGCCCGCCTCGCCGCCGCCCGCGCCGCGCAGCCTCGCGCCATGAGCTGGTGCACCATCGAGAGCGACCCCGGCGTCTTCACGGAGCTCGTGGAGAAGTTCGGCGTCAGCGGCTGCGAGTTCGCCGAACTCTACAGCCTCGACGACGGCGAGCTGGCGCGCCACGCGCCCGTCTTCGGGCTCATCTTCCTCTTCAAGTGGACGGGCGAGAAGGACGACCGCGCGACGTTGAGCTTCGACGAGGCGCCGCCGGGCCTCTTCTACGCGAAGCAGATGGTCAACAACGCGTGCGCGACGCAAGCGATCCTCTCCGTGCTGCTCAACTGCGAGCACGTGTCGCGCGGCGCGACGCTCGACGAGCTCAAGGCCTTTGGCGCCGAGCTGCCCTTCGACATGCGGGGCCTGGCCATCGAGAATTCCGAGGCCATCCGCGCCGCGCACAACGCGTTCGCGCGGCCGGAGCCGTTCGTGTCCGACGAGAAGCGCGCGACGGCCGACGACGACGTCTTCCACTTCGTCGCCTACGTGCCGTCGGGCGGCAAGGTCTACGAGCTCGACGGCCTCAAGGCCGGGCCCATCGACCTCGGGTCCTTTGAGGACTCGTGGCTCCCCGTCGCGCGGTCCGCCATCGAGGCGCGCATCCAAAAGTACGCCGCCTCCGAGATCAAGTTCAACCTCATGGCCATCGTCCGCGACAAGCGCGCCGCCCTCGAGGACGCCAAGGCCGCGGCGGACGCCGCGACGGCGGCGGAGCTCGACGCGGAGCTCGCCCGCGAGCACGCGAAGCGCGCGGACTGGGCCGCGGAGAACGTCCGCCGCCACCACAACTACGTCCCCTTCGTCATCGACCTGCTCAAGGTCCTCGCGGAGCAGGGCAAGCTCGGCGCCATGATGGACGACGCCAAGGCCAAGGCGTCCACGGACGCGAACAAGCGCCAGAAGGTCTAGGGCGCGAGCGCGCGTCCTAAGAGCCCGAAGACCGGCAGACGCACGCGCCGTCGCGGCGAACCGCGCCGACGCAGGCCTCGACGTCGGCGCAGGCGCCGGCGACGAGGGGGACGACGTCGGCGTCGGGCGCCGCGGCGCGGAGGCCCGCGTAGAGCGCGCGCCACGCGGCCCGCGTCCCGTTCGCCGCCCGGAGCGCGCGCGCGGCGGCCCAGGCGTCGTCGAAGGCGCCCGCCGCGCCGCGGACCGCGGCGGACGCGTTGAGCGTCGCGAGCGCAAACGGGTCGAGGAGCCGCAGGTCGAAGCGCGCCGAGAGATTTTTCGTCGCGTCGCGGTCCGTCGCGAACGCGCCGCCGGCCCAGAGCAGCGGCGCGCCGAACGAGGACGTCCAGCTTCGGAGCCGCACACCGTAGTCGTCGTCGCCGAAGAGCGACGAGAAGTCGGCGACGACGAAGCGCGCGTCGCGGGCCCAGTAGAGCGACGACGCGTAGGTCGTCTCGAGGTAGTCGACGCGCTCATCGGGCGTCGCGTCCGGCGCCGGCCAGCCCCCCGCGAGGCGCCGGGCGACGGCCGCGAGCGTCGCGTTGAAGAATTTGCGGTTGCTCACGACGAGGTGGTCGTAGTTGTCCAGCGTGCCCACGGCGGCGGGCGCGGCGCAGTCGACGCCGCCGGCGACGAAGCACGGCATGGCCACGGTTTCGTTGCAGCACATCTCCCAGATGCCCGTGTCGACGGAGCCGGCGACGACGGGCGCGGTGGAGCGCCTACCGAGCGCGCGTTTCCTGAATCCCGTACCGCGCGCGCGTTTCCAGAATTTTATCGGTGGACGCCGCGACGCGCCGGACGCCCACGTCGCCGAACGCCGGGTTGCCCAGGTCGAAGCGGTGCCAATTCAGGGCCACGTAGACCGGCCGGTCCGCGGCCTCGGAGAAGCTCGCCGGGCAGAAGCCCGCCGCGAAGCCGTCGTAGCCGTAGACGCGGCGCTCGGCGTCGTCCTGGAGCTCGTAGAGCGGCGGCGTGGTCTCGTTCGCGCAGGCCTCGGGCGTCGCGGACGTGAAGAGCGCCTCCCACGGGTTGGGCTTGTACGGAAGCCGCTCCGCGAGCGCCAGGTCCATGAGCATGAAGCTGTCGCTCGGGCGTGCGTTGAAGTTCGTCACGAGCTCGACGGTGGCGAGCTGCGCGGCGAACTCTTCGTAGGACAGCGGCGTGTCTCTCGCGAGGAGCGCCTCCAGGTCGCCCCGCGCCGCGGCCGCCGCTCCCGCCGCGGACGCCGCCGCGCGGTCGAAGACGCGCCGCTGCTCCGGAGTGGGCGGCCGCGGCGGGAGCTCGGCCGCGACGAGCACGGCTCCCACGAGCATGGCCTTTCCCATGGTTGTTCCATGCTTTCCCATGCTTTCCACGAGGGAGGAAGGCATCGTCACTTGCAATTGGTAATAAACTTCAATAATCAAGGTAAAGGAGCGCTGATTGCCCTCGGATTGACTGACGATATTATGGAGGCAGCCCCACTCATCCACGACGAGACGCCCGAGGCGGCGCGACGACAAAAGGCGGCGACCGACGACGCACCCCGCGTCGGCCGACAAACACGCGCCGTCGCCGCCGTCCTCGCGAGCCTCGCCGCCGTCGCCGTCGTCGCCGCCGCCGGCAGCCCCCGGTTTCGCGGCCCGGCGGCGCTCGCCGTCGCGCACAACACGAGCGCGGGCGACGTCTCCCTCGGGAGCTTCCAGAACGCGTCGTCCGGCGTCTCCGCGAGCGACCTGAACTGCAGCGACTACGACGACGACACCGTCTACACGAACGACAGCTGCGTGATCTACGACGAGATGTCGTGCGACATGTACTGCGTCTCCGGCAGCTGGTGCGACTTCTTCTGCGGCGACGAGTGCGCGCGCGGCGGCGGCGCCATCTGCGCGCTGACCGTGCTGAGCAACCTGACGAAGAGCTGCGAGAAGCACGGCCTCTGCTCCGCGCCGGGCACCGTCTCCGTCTCGTCCGTCGAATCCGACGATTCGGCGCCGACGCCCAAGCCGACGGCGTCCCGCGCGTCGGCCGACGGCTGCGACCACCACGCCATCTGCTCCTACTGCCTGCCCAACGACTACTGCCAGGAGCTCGTGCTCGACGGCGTCATCGAGGCCGCGAACATGGCCATGCTCCTCCTCTCCCAGTTCGAGCAGACGTGCGCCGCCTACGGCTGCGACGACTGGGTCGCGGCGCAGGTGCGGTAACAAGCTTGGCGTGAGTAGACGAGGCGGCGGAATCGAGCGGGGGGGCGGGGGGGGGTCTCGGGGGGAACAGGTCAGCCGCAGGTCAGGGTCTTCGTCGCCGAGTCGCCGTACTGGTTCGTGACCGTGAGCTCGAGCTCGTCGTAGCCCGCGGCGTCGTAGGTCCCCGTCACCGTCGTCGCGAGCCAGTGGGGCAGCCACGTGACGACGCCCGACGTCACGTCGACGCCGCCGTCGTCGGCGGGCGTCACGCCCTGCGTCGTCCGCAGCACGTAGGTGCCGCTGTACTCGTCGTTCTGCTTGAAGCTGTTGTGCGTCACGAACGACAGATCGCCGCCGACGCACGACGCGTTGTAGATCAGCGGCGCGTCGTAGAAGCGCTCGACGCTGTACATCTTCCAGCCGACCTGGGACGACCGCCGGCCGCTGTGGCTCGAGCCGTAGCCCATGACGCTCAGCTGGAAGGCCGTGGCCTTGTCCCGCGTCAGTTCGACGACGTGCGCGTCGTGCTCGCCCGTCTCCGCCGTTAAAACCTACCAGGCATGTCGGTGACGATTGCTCTTCCCGGTCGACATCTCTCGAAAATCGTCGCGGCCGCGGGACGCTGGTCAAAGACGTGTGGCCACCAGCTCGTGAGCACGTTGCCCGTGGGCAGCTGGTCGTTGTCGCCGAACATGGGGCTGTAGCCCCCCGGGTAGGCGGCGTAGATGTACTCCCAGACCTCGCGCGCCGTCCGCGCGTCCTCGTCGATCTCGACGATGAGCGCGCGGCTCGGCCGCTCCTGGTCGTACATGTTGTCGAACATGAAGTACAGGTTGTTCCCAAAGTACTCGGCGTTGTGCTGGCCCGCCCAGAGCTTGGAGCCCGGCGCGTGCTTGACGCCCCGGATGTCGTACAGGTCGAACTCGCCGTACGAACCGCCGCAGATCCAGTCCACCTCCTGCGTCTCGACGTCGTACTTGATCAGCGCGTCCGTTAAACGCGAGGAAAATATAGCCTTCGTGTTGCCCTGGATCAACTGGGCGTGGTTCACGTCCGACGCGACGCCGCCGTCGACGGTCAACGTGTCCAACACGTCGCCCGTGGACGCGTGGATTCTCTGCACGCCCGCGTGCACCGGCGCCCAGAAGGACGGCAGGGCCGCCGACGACGCCCACTGGACGTCGTGGGAGTTGACGCCGTAGTTGCCGCCGGAGACGCGCGTCAGGTTGTCCGTCCGCCAGTTCCAGACGTATATCGAGCCCTCCTCGGTCATGTTGATGTTGCCCGCCATGAGCAGCGAGGAGCCGTCCCGCGGCTTTAAAGCGTCGACGTGCATCTTGTCCTGGACGATGAAGGTCGGGAACATCTTGTGCACCGTGCCGTTGTAGGACATGAGGACGACGTAGGACACGTCGTCGCCGTAGTAGATGTTGAACGCGAGGTAGCCGCCCGCGGCCTGCGCGCCCAACCGGCCGTGGACGAGGTCCGCGCGCAGGGTCACGTTGATGTAGGCCGGCAGATAGGCCTTGAGCGCCTCGACGTCCGTCGTGTCGACGCCCTCCGCGTGGAGGTAGCCGCGGACGGCCCGCTGCGCCATGAAGTCGTCCGGCGTTAACGAGTAGGTCACGTGGCTCAGCGCGCCGTCGACGCCGCCGCCGCTCGCGTCGTTGACGTCCGACGCGCCGTGGACGCGCGAATCCGACGCGCTCCGCGCGCTCGCGCGCGACTTTGTCTCCTTGCTCGTCTCGTAGCGGCTCACGGACACGCCGATCAACGCGCCGAGGCAGCACAGGATGGTGACGAGCGCCGCGGTGCGCGCCGCCGGCCGCCGGCACGCGAGCGCCCGCGGCTTCCGCACGAGGTCCGCCTCCTCGGGGTCCGACGGGACCGCCTCGTAGGGCTGCCCCATGGCGTCGCACCAGGGGCCGTCGTCGACCGTCCTCGAATATCCACTGCAACGCGAGGATTTGCGAAATGCAAGTGGGGGGGCTGCCCAAAAGCGGCGCAGTACCGGTCGGCGTTCGGCGCCGCCGGCCGACGCCGCCGCCGGCGCGGCGCCTACGGACCATGCAGATCCTGCTGCGCGGCCTCGACGGCCGCACGTCGGCGCTGGAGGTAAGAAGAAGAACGAGCGTGCGCCGCCTCAAGCGATTAATCGAGGAGCGGACGGGCGTCGCGCCATCAAAACAGCGGCTCACGGCCCGCGGCGCGCCGCTGCTCAGGGAAACCGCGACGCTCGAGTCCTGCGGCGTGGGCGAGGCGACGCTCGTCGAGCTCGGCGGGCGGCTCCGCGGCGGCTGCCAGCCGCACGCGCTGAAGCTGTACATGCGGTGCCTCCACCTCTTCAAGGTCTTCGTGTCGCTCTACATGTTCATGTCGGGCTGCGTCATGATCTCCGATTATAGCATCCACCAGGCCTTCGGCACGCAGTACATCTTCTGGGGGATTCTAGTATTGTGCCTCGCGGTGACGAAGCCCTGCAACATCTTGATGGGCCACTACGGGTCCGTCTACCACAACAAGTTCGCGCTCCTGGTGGTCATCGTGTTTGACGGCGCCGTGATCTTCGTGCAGTCGTCGCTGGCCATCATCTTCATCGTCGACGGGTCGCCGAAGTACGAGCGCGAGCTGCGGCGGGACTGCTCCAAGTCCGTGCACCCGCGCGACTCCCAGTTCAGCACGCAGGACTGCACGGAGTACTGGGACGACGACCGGACGGCGGGGTTCCGCCTCGCCTGGATGTCGACGTACTACATGGGCATCCGGGAGAAGGACCAGGCGCGCATGCAGCAGCTCGAGGAGTACCAGGCCAAGGGCATGTGCTGCGGCTTCGGCCCGCCGGCGAACTGCGACTTCGTGGAGAACAAGGAGCTCTTCCCGACGCCCATCGCCCAGGAGGACCTCTTCGGCGGCGACATGTTACGGCAGCGCGTGTCCTGCTCCGACGTCTACGACGCGTGGTACCCCGCGGAATTGGGCACCTGCGGCCACTACGACGAGGCGGACTACAAGGAGTCGTTCATTCTAGGCTGCAAGTACGACTGGGCCGCGGGGTTGTGCGTGGACCGGGACGTCGAGGACGGGAGCCGCGGCTGCGCGGCGTTCTTCGAGGACCGGATGAACGAGAAGCTCTACCCGCAGGGCATCATCCTGTTCGGGTCGATTCTGTTGGAGGGGTTCACGGTCTTCGCCGCCTGCTTCTATTGCTGGAAGCGCAAGGAGGACGACGTGCTGCCCGTGACCTACATCTACGAGGAGCCCTGGGACCCCATCAAGGAGGGCAAGCTCAAGCTCCACGAGCCCCAGGACGCGGCGCAGCACGGCGAGGAGGACTAAGCCTAAGCCTAGACCAGGGCGCTCGCGTCGCCGCTCGTCTCGAGCTTCGGGGCCTCGGCCTTGCGCGCGAGCTCCGTGACGCGGGCCTTGTAGGCCTGGATCTCGCTCTTCCGGCGGAACGTCGACAGCGAAAACCCGCCGGAGGTCCCCTTGCCGAGGTGGAGCGCGTCGGTGACGAGCGTGCCGAGGTCCGCGCTCGTTGCGTGCGTGGCCTCGGGCGCGACGCACCGCGGGAAGTCCGGGTTCCCGTAGTTCGGCGAGTCGAGGTAGCCGTACCAGCCCCGCTTGCAGAGCAGGTAGTCCGCGAGGTCGCCGCCCTGGAACCACTGGGCCCGGTGGATGGGGAACAGGAGCAGGAAGAGGGGCGCGAATTTCAGGAACCACAGGAAGAAGTTGACGAGCTCGGAGAAGAAGATCGCCTCGAAGATGATCGTCTTCGCGTCGCTCTTCTCCGGCATCCAGTTGTCGTTGAGGAGCACGTCGAGCACGAGGGAGATGACGACGATGTGCGACGCGAGGAGCACGAGCAGGACCCGGTCGCCGCGGACCTTCCAGCGCCTTAGCGTGATCGCGCGCTGCTCGATCTCGCCCGCCGTCGCGCGCCGGCCGTCGAGCGCGGCGAGCATCTGCTTGTAGAGGCAGGGGCAGATCACCAGCTGGCGGATGAAGACGGCGTAGAGCACGGTGACCGTGTGCTTCGTGAGGATCATCGCCGTCTTGCGCCACCGGTTCTCGCGCGACCGGCCGAGGTCCTCGGACTGGTACTCGACGAACGTCGACCAGAGGAAGTTGAAGGCCACGGAGCAGATAAAAACCACCAAACGCTCCTTGCTCGAGAAGGGGCAGAGCGGGTGCACGTAGCAGATGGACACCGCCGGATGGAACAGCTTCACGAACGCCCACGCGTTCGACGAGAGCGTCCCGTCCGTGTCCGGCAGGCCGAAGGACGCGGGCATGGGCATGCCGCGCATGAGGAGCTCCACGGTGGCCTTGTTGCCCGGCTCCGTGAGGTAGAGCTCGTCGAGCACGCACTCGCGGACGGACATGCGCCGCCGCCGCGGCGCGCGCCGCGTCGGCGCGCGCGCCGGGTCGGGCCCGTCGCCCGCGCCGGGCAGGCGCCGCGCGCTCGAGTGTTCGACGCCGTAGTGCAGCATCTTCCGCCGCCGCTTGTCGGACCACTGGCTCGGCGACGAGCTCGACTCGCGCGCCGGCGGCGCCCCGTCGCCGCCCTTGGCCTCGTCGGCATCGGTGCCGCGGCCGAGCGTCGCCCCGGGGCCCATGGGCGGCAGGGCGGAGACGACCTTCGTCTTTCCGTTCGAGCGCGTTCCGACGCCGCGCGGACGGCGACGCCGCTGAAAAGTGGAGTGGTGCCCGATCGGTTGTTGAGATGCGATCACGGCCATCCAGAAAAAAAAACGCCGAAGCTTGCTTGAAGCGACCCATATTCTTCAACGTCGGCCCGGGCACGTCGCGATCGCGACGCGTAACGCGACGCTCCCCCCGCCCCCTCGCCCCCCGGGACCCCGGTCACTTAACCTCGGCGGCGACCTTGCGCTGCTGCGTGAGGCGGTAGCCCGCCTTCTTCCCGCCGAAGTTCTTGAGGATGTTCGCGCCGACGCCGCGGACGCCGGACATGTAGGACCGGCGGTCCGCCTTCTCCTCGGCGTCGCCGTCCTCGAGGCGCGGCTTCGCCTTGCGCGACGAGTGGGAGACGAGGTCCTGCTGGACGCGCTCCGCCTCCGCCGGGAAGGCCGCGCGCGTCCGGTCCCAGTCGTCGCGCGTGAGCACGTTCACGGTGGTCCAGACGAGCGCGATGACCGTCGCGGACCGCGGCGTCTGGTCCAGGAGCGCCCGCTCGCCGACGTGGTCCCCCGCGTGCATGAGCTTCAGGATCCGCGACCGCTGGGAGCCCGGGTCGAGCACCGCGAGCATGCCGCTCTCGACGAAGGCCATCCAGTCGCCGATGTCGTGCTTCCGCATCATCGACTCCGACTCCATGTAGATTGTGGGCTTCATCTGCATGACGAGGTGCTCGAGCATGTTCCGCGTGATGCGCTGCATGAAGGGGATCCGCTTGATGAGGTCCGCGTAGATCGCGAGGCGCGCGTCGAGCTGGAGCCGCGGCGTCAGCTCCTTGAGGAAGTGGTGCGTGTCCGGCGTGACGCTGCGGTCCTTCTCCCAGAGCTGCTCGTAATACCGTAAAATGCGGTCCTGGAGGTCCGGCGGCAGCCCCATGTAGCCGACGCGCTTCTGGACCGTGATGAGCTTCGTCTGGTAGTTCTGGTGCGCCTCGTCGAGGCGGTGGAGCAGGCCCGCCATCTTGCCGAAGATGGCCGCCTGCATGATGGACCCGTAGATCACCACAAAAGCGAAGAAGACCTGCTCCCGGTTCGTGATCGCGCGGCCGTCGCCGTTGATGGAGATGCAGGCCTGGTGGATGCAGTCGCTGTAGGCCGTGTAGAACGTCGCGCGGCGGCAGCGCCGGTTCACGCGGGCGCCCAAACGCCGCTTCGCGTCGTCGGGCCCGTCGTCGTCGTCCAATCGCGCGCCGGGCCACTCGTACGCGTTGCCGTCGCCGCAGCGCCAGACGTCGTCGATGCCCTTCCAGCCGCAGGCGATCCAGTGGACGCTGAGCATGACCGCGAACAGGAGCTTCGTGAACTGGACGCCGCCCTGCGTGCGCTTCTCGAGCTTCTTCATGATCTTCGACAGCCGGAAGAGCCGCAACAGCTTCAGCGCCTTGATCAGGCCCGTGTTCTTCGTCGCCGACTTGACGTTCTTGTCGTCGAAGGCCGTGAAGATCTCCGCGAAGGGCACGCAGGACACGAGGTCGAGCCAGAACCACTTTGAGGTGACGTAGTGCCGCGCGATGACGGCGCCGTCGACGATGATCTTCTCGTGGTCGTCCGTCGTCGCGAACAGGAACTGGAAGAACAGGTCGCACCCGAAGGCCGCCGTCGACGCCCACTCGAGCGCGCCCTTGAAGACCGTCACGTCGTCGAACGTCGCCTCCACAGGCACGACGACGGACTGGACGACGACGAGGATCAGGATGAAGAGGCTCCAGTACTGGACGACCCACGAGTTCGGCAGGAGCAACAGCTGGGGCCACTGTTTCTGGCGCATGACGCCCGGCAGGTGGAGCAGCAGCACGAGCGCGTCGCGCGTCTTCTCGAAGCCGACGTCGTCGCCGTCCTCGCCCTTGAGGTTGTTGTGGTCCATGATGCCGTGCTCGTTGACGGCGTTCTCCGGCACGGCCTCGAGCGTCCAGTACCAGCGGTAGACCCAGTTGCCGCAGCCGAGGTACCAGGGGCAGGGCCCGCGGACCGCGCCGGGCGCGCGCCGCGCGAAGAGCGACCGCCCCCAGGTCTCGCGCGCCATCGCCGCCGTCGCGGCGAAGATGGTCTTCGTGCGCGAGTAGAGGATGGACCCGCGGCTCTTGCGCCGCGCCGGGGGCGCCGCGCCGCCGTCGCCGGACGCGTCCTTCTCCTCCTCGCGCTGCGACTCCTTGAGCAGCGAGATGATCTTGTTCGTCGCCTTCATCTTGCGCTGCCGCCGGCTCTTCTTCGACGGCGGCGCGTAGCCCAGGTCCTGGACGAGTGATCCGAAGCCGCGGCGGTCAACGCCGCCGTCGGCGAGCGGCGGCAGCGGGGACCCGGTCGACGACGAGGCCGCGCCGGGCGTGCCGTGGGGGCCGAGGTCCAGGGACGACTGGAGGCCCTTCCAGCGCGCCTTGCCCTTGGACACGGCCGGCGCCGAGAGCTGGCCCGGGAGCCGCGGGACGAGGGCGCCGCCGGGCGTGTGCGCGGGCGGCGCCGCGGCGCCCGGCGACACGGCGTCGACCGCGCGCCGGAGCCGCGCGGCGGCCGCGGCGACGGCCGGCGGCGGCGCCGCGCCGCGGGCCCGGAGCGCCGCGGCGGCGACGGCGAGCGACAGCTCCGCGGCCTGCAGCGACGCGACCACGGCGTCGCCGTCCGCGCCGGCGGCCGCCGTCGGGCTCGGCGGCGTCGCGGCCGGCGGCGGCGGCGTCGCCGCCGCCGGCCGCGCCGGGCTCGCGGACCGAGGCGCCGGCGGCCTCTCCGGCGTCGGCGTCCGGATCGGCATGCCGAGCCGGCCAGCCGCGCGCGGCCCAGACCTCGGTGGGGGCCTCTCGCGCTGGGATGCCTCGAGAGGCTACTTCGGTAAGTATCTGCAATTAGGGATGCAACGTTACCCCCGCTTGAAGCCGGCTTGGCCCGGCCCGGCTGCTTGCGGGTTCTTCAGAACTTCTTCTTCTTATTACTATTATTATTGGGTATTTAACGTGGGAGAAGCCGCATGCCCAGGCACACACGCGGCCGATAGGTCTCGCACGGAAGAAGCTGAAGTAGGTCTTACGGAAGTTCTTACGGCTGAGTACGGGCACTGGCACACGTCCGACCGAGCCCCCCTCTCAGAGCCACGCCCCATGTCCTCCCGCGGAACGCGCGCCTTAGTCGTAGGGGATGGACCGGTTCCCGCGGCGGATGTGCTTGAAGTGGGTCCGCGGCATGCGCTCGAAGACGACGACGCCGTCGTAGAAGCAGAGGCTCCACGTCGACGCCGCGAAGCGCACCGCGGGCGCGTCGGGCATGGTCGCGACGTCGTCGTAGCGCGTCGGCGGGTTCGTCGGGTCCGTGTAGCCCTCGGCGCCGTCGGCGACGTTGAAGGCGTTGAGCGAGTCGACGAGGCGCTTCGCGAACTCGATGAACGTGTCCGCGCCGACGCCGCCGCCCCACGGCCGCCAGTAGTTCGTCATGCAGTCCTCGACGAGGTAGACGCCCCGCGGCGCGACGAGCGCGTACAAGGCCTCGAAGGACGCGCGCATGTGCGCCGACTCGTGGGACCCGTCGTCCAAAACGACGTCCACGGGGCCGACGCGCCGCGCGAGCGCTTGCATAAAGTTTGCGTCCGTCGCGTCGCCGACGTGCACGTGGACGTTGCGCGCGGGGTCGTCGAACTGGGCGCAGTTCGGATTAATATCGACGCCATGGTACTCGAGGTCGTCGCCGAAGTAGGCCCGCCACAGCTCGATGGACCCGCCGCTTTGGACGCCGATCTCGAGCATGACGACTCGACGGCCGCGGAAGCGCGAGAAGTGGCGCTCGTAGACGTCGAAGTAGTGCGCCACCTTGTGGACGAGGGGGCCGTCCGCGTAGGTCGCCATCCACTTCTCGAAGTCGCTCTCGCCGCGGCGCGCCGTCGCGTACGTGTTCGCGGCGACGGCGTCGGCGGCGGCCGCGACGGCGTCGGCCGCGGCGCCCGCGCGCGCGGCGTAGTCGTCGGCGCCGGGCACGGGCAGCACCTCCTCGCGGACGACGTCGAGCACGTCGCCGTCGGCCAGCACGTCGCCGACGCGGTCGGAGCCGCCGAGGAGGCAGCCCGAGGGGGCCACGAGGGTCAGGGCGTCGGCGTCGTCGCGGTAGCGCTGCGCGAAGGCGCGCAGGATGGCCTCGACGCGCTTGCCCGGCCGCACGGCGACCTTGAACGTGCACGCGTGCTCCGCGGACCGCAGGTAGAGCGCGAGCTTGGGCTCCATGGTCGCCGCCATCGTCTGCTGCTAGCTGCTCGATCGGCTTTCCGGAGCTTGTTTGCCCTTTGCGCGATGGCTCGAGCTCCGTGAATCACGACCGTGCGCCGTGAATCGCGACCCTGCGATGGCGCTGAAGCCGCTCAAGGTCGGGCTCGCGGGCCTGTCGGCGTCGTCGCTGATCCTCTACGCGGCGCGGGATAGTGATCTTTATAAGGGCGGGCCGCGCGCGCTGCTCGGCACCGTGATCTGCCTCGTCGTCGCCCAGAACCGGGAGCTCGTCGTCGCCGCGGCGAAGCGCGTCGTCGACGCGCCGCTGCAGCTCGCGTCGCGCCTCGCGGGCGCCGCGACCGGCCGCGGCGACGACGGCGCCGGCGACGCGCCGCCGCCGCTCGCGCGCCTCGCGCCGCCGCGCGGCGGCGCCGCGGCGGAGGAGGCCGACGCGTGGCCGACGGACGCGCACCCGCGCTTCGCCGCCGCGGCGCCCAGCGCCGCGGCCTACGCCGCCTGCCGCCACGACCTCGGCGTCTGCGCGCGTCGGCCGCCGCCGGAGGCGTCGCGAGCGTGGGACCCGCACCTCGGCGCCGTGCCCGAGGCCTCGCTCGCGCGCTGGCGCGCGGCCGCTGCGGAGCGCCGGCCGACCGACGCGTCGGCGGCGCCGCCGCCGCCGCGGACGCCGCGGCGCGTCGCCGCGCCCGACGCGCCGCGATGACGGCGGTTTATTTTTACGACGTGAAGAGCGCCGGGGAGCGCGGCGGAGCCCCGAGGGCCACCGTGGGAGCGAGTTCAGTGATGTGTTACAAATCGGAAGTCTCCGGCGCCTCTTCGGCGTCGGGGGGACTGGCGCGTCTCCGGCGGCGGCCTCTTCGGCGCCGGAGGGGGGTCACAGGGGGGCGGGTGGGGTCACAGGCCCGAGCGGAGCGCGGTCAGGTCGATGCCGTCGGCGGTGGGCCGCGCGGTGAGCTCGCTGATGAGCTCGTCGACGCTGCGGCCCCGGAGGCGCGTCGACGACGGGCCGACGCGGCGCGTCCCGTCGCCGTCGAGCTTGAGGGGCGGCGGCGGCGGCGCCATGGCGTCGAGCGTGTCCGTGACGCTCTTGGGCGACGACGGCAACGGCTTGGCCGGGAACCGCAGGTTCCCGGAGGCCGGGAAGCGGAGCGCGTCGTCCGGATACGTCGCGCGCCGCTCTCGCGACGCCGGCGGCTGCTCCGGGATCGGCAGCTGCTCGAGCTGCATCTCGTGGAAGGCCGTGGTGACGTCGAGCATGGCGCCCTCGGGCGTGGCGATGAGCACTTCCTGGAACATGGGATGCGACGAGAATGGATCGCGCAGGAGCACGCCGTCCTTGGTGCCGACGAGCACGTAGTCGTGGGAAGCCATCGTCGTTCTATGTGGTGCTGGGGTCGATGCAATGCTGCTCGCTCGGTTGCGTGGCTGGCGCGGTCGGAATTGCTGCCGTACGGGTCGGCGAACAACTTAGCACGAGGCCATTAGAGCTCTGACACCTATCTCTCTCTCTCATGAGATTCTTCAAGTCAACATGTGCAAGATCAAGATGCCGCGCGGGCGTTTCGGCATTCAAAAGGGGATCTTCATGTATACATGAAGATCCCCTTGCGGCATTCCATTTCTGTGTCCTCGGGCTGCCTCCAGTCGCCCGCCTGTTCGCGGTGCTCGGGCGGTGCTCGGGGTGCTCGAGGTGCTCGGCCCGGGCGGTGCTCGAGGTGCTCGGAGTGCTCGAGGTGCTCCTTCGCGCCGTCTTCTCGAGCTCCTCGGCCCACCATGGGCTCGGCCGTGAGCGCCGGCGCGCGGCTCAACGAGGAGGACGTGCAGATGATCTGCGGCGAGATGTACGACACGGACGCGCGAAGCGCCTTCGCGGCCGCGTCGAGCGACGGCTTCGTGAGCGCCGAGGCGGCCCTCGCCTACGCGAAGAGCAAGCCGGCGCTCGAGGACCAGGTCGCCAAGGACGCCGCCGTGCGCGCGGAGATGAAGAAGCAGTCGACGCGGCGGGTCATAGAGGAGCAGCGGCAGCGGCCGCCCGAGGCGCCGACGCCGACGGCCGCGGACAAGAAGCGGACGAACCTCACGGCCTTTGCTTTGGAGGACCACGTGAAGAAGACGTTCCCCATGATGGTCATGCCCATCGCGACGTTTTTAGAGTTGGAGACGATGCGGCCCTACGAGGAATTGCTCGCCGAAGGCAAGATCTTCGAGTGGGACGAGGCCAAAGGCCCCGTCTTCTTCCTGTCCCACCAGTGGACGTCCTTCGACCACCCGGACCACACGGGACTGCAGCTCGCCACGGCCAAGGCCGTCTTCCGGGGCCTGGCCGCGGGCGACGTCGTCGACCGCTTTACGTCCGAAAAGGAGTGGGAGGACTGGTCCCTCAAGGATAGCATCTACGCGCGCAACTTCAACGCGCGGCTGCCCTACGAGGCGCTCACGCCCCGGCACCTCGCCGCCGAGGCGACGCGGGGCCACGTCTGGCTCGACTACGCGTGCGTGCCCCAGGCCGGGGACGCGCAGGACGCGCGCCTCGCGGCCATCGAGTCCATCCCCCACTACATCGACGCGGCGCTGACCTTCATGGTGCTCTGCCCGAAGATCGAGCACAAGGAGAAGGCCGAGGCCTGCGACTACCACAGCTGGCGGAGCCGGGGCTGGTGCCGCTTCGAGGAGCAGGTCAACGAGCTCAAGCTCTTCGAGACGCACTTCGACGAGGAGTGGATGCACGGCATCACGAAGTGGGACGTGCCCCGGCGGCCGTTGATCGTCACGGGCGAGGCGTCCATCTCCACGGTCGACGTCATGGACCACTTCTACACGCTCGGCCTCCGCTGCAACAGCGTGCTCAACGGCGACTTCGCGTGCTGCGCGCTGAACCACGAGAAGACCTTCGCCGACGGCTCGACGGTCTGCATCCCCTGCGACAAGAAGCGCCTCAAGCCCTTCTGCGTGTCCCTCTGGGAGCGCAAGTGCGAGCACATGAAGACGGCGAGCGCGTTCGTCCAGTTCATGTACTTTTGGCGCTACAAGAGCCACGTGACGATGATGCAGGCCGAGACGCTCGAGGACACGCCGGAGAACACGGAGGACCCGGCCCTCGCGACGCTCGAGGACGTCAAGGCCAAGTACAACCTCGCGGACGACGGCGGCATGTGGGAGGCCTACAAGTCGCTCATGGCCATGAACTGGGGCATGATGAAGATGCCCCAGAACCCGGACATGTTCTGCTGGCAGGGCGACGAGGGCCGGGCGAACCTCGAGGCGTTCCGGTGCCGCGTCGACCGACACGCGGCGGACGTCGAGAAGAACGGCATGGTCAACCTCCTGCTGACCTACATGGTCGCCGAGGGCAACCTGAAGATGGTCAAGCTGCTCGTCGAGGAGCACGGCGCCGACCTCAGCTGGGCCCCTTCTTCGTCATGATCACGATGCTCGACTTCTGCGCGACGAAGGGCAACGACCGCGTGCTCCGGTACATCCTCGACACCGTGGGCCCGGAGAAGGCGGAGATCGACCGCCTGTCCACGGTCACGCACATCGCCGCCGTCGACCGCGCCTGCAAGAGCGGCATGCTCTCGAGCCTCGACATCCTCGTCGCGCACGGCGCCAAGGTCGTCGGCTTCGAGCGGTTCAACGGCGAGACGTGCGCGCACTCCGCGGCCATGCACGGCCACGTCCACATCCTCAAGCGCCTCCACGAGCTCGGCGTCGACATGTTCGCCGTGACGCGCAACAACTACACGGGGCTCGGCGGCGGCGGCCTCGGCGCGGGCAAGTCCGCGCTCGACTACGCGCGCCAGTGGAACAACTCCGCCGCGGTCGCCTACCTCGAGAGCCTCCAGTACGAGGTCCGGCCCGTCGAGCCGACGGCGGCGGAGCTCCCCTAGGGCGGGCGGGGGGAATTCCTAATGCAGTCGCGTGAGGAGTCTCTGAGGCAGGCGCCGGCGCCAGCGAGTGACCCGGCGATGGCCCAGGGCCGGGGCGCGCGAGCACGACCAACCTCCGCTGCGATGGTTGGTCGGCGGCCTCGCGCCGCCGGCTAGCTCAGTTCGCCGAGGTACCCCGGGAACCCCCCAGGATAAGTCCACCCGACCTCGGGGGTAGGGACGGGTGATGCTCAGGTGTGATGCCCAGGTGTGTTGGTGTGATGCCCAGTGTGACCCTCGGTCCGCGTGTTTTCGGGTGTGATGCTCGGTGTTTTTGGCCTGGGCCGAGCGGCGAAGATTAAAGTGCAACACGGAGTCAAACAAACGCGCAGGCTTGTTTCTGGCCACACGATCGGACGTTGCTATTGCTGCCCCGTTTTCCGATGCTATGGCCCGGCCCAGAGGCTGCCGCGGACGGCGTGCCGGCTTCCGGTCGCGCTCGTCGCGGCCCTGGCGTGGCGCCCGCGGCGCGCGGTGCGCGCTGGGCAGCCCTCGTCGGGCCGTGGGCGGCGGCGGCGGCGCGGGTCGGGCTGCCACGCGGTAGGCGTCTGGTCGAGGACTGGCGCCACTGCGGCGACGCGCGGTTGTTCCGACACGTTCTCCGGTGTCTATGCCGGCGGGGTTCTCGCGCGCGGGGCCGCGGGGCGGCCCAATGGCGATGACTTCTTTTTTTGAGAGTTTAACGAATACTCGCACCTGCTCATCGCGGTCGTCGCGCCGAGGTCCGATTTGAAGAACGATCGCCGCAGCTGCGACGCCTCGCGCGCCGCGTGCAGGGTGGCGTCCCCTGGCGGAAGGACTACCACCGTCATCGTGACCGCCGCGCCGCGCGCCTCCCTGCCGCGGCAGTTGGAATTCCACTGGGACGTCGCCTACCGATGATGTAGTAGCTATCTAGTACGGGCGGCCGCGCGCGGCGTTCGAAGGCGAGCATCGAGAAGTCGATGCCCGAGTCGCCCGACGCTCTGCCGGAGGCCATGCTTTCGCTGTTTCGCGCCGCATGGCTGCTCGAGCCCAGCGAGGTGCTGCTCTTACTCAATTCGTGGCCGTTTCTACATCGACAACTCCCCATGATGTTGGCTCCCGCACGCTTCCTGCGTTTCGTCGAACCGACGATCGACGGTCTCGGACGGGCCATTCAGAGCCTGGAACGGTATTATAGAATCGTCAAGGCTCACAATCCATGTCCCGAGCGCTCGCTCTCGGCGTATGAATTTCCGCTCATGCTAATATCGCACTGGTCTCGAAAGGTCGATCCGACGGGCGACATCGACCTCGTCGCGACCGATGTGCTCACGCGAGAGCTTGAGCACTGGCGCCGCCCGGGTTTTGGATTCATGGGCTCTATTGACTACGATTCCGCGGCCGACTTCTTTATCCGTGCTACCTCCGCTTTCTTTGGTCAAGTCGGGTACAGCTACAATTCGGCTACGACGGCAATGTACGTCGGCGGGTGGGTGAACCGCGCGTCAGCGGTCGCCTTTCGCGATATCTTGCATCTTGAACAGGAAGAAATCAATCGCGGGTACGGACGCATTTGGGTGAACTCGGACGATGAGGATGAGAGCGGAAGCGATTCCAGCTCCGACTCGGACTCCGACTAGACACTTCGCGTCGGAGAACCGCCGGGGTCCCCCTGTATAAGCCACCCACAACAGACTTCCCCTTACTAGATGTTCATGTTCGCGAGGGCGGCGTCGTCGGGCTCGCCCGACGCGTCCGGCGCGGGCTCGTCGTCGCCGCCGGCGTCGCCGTCCGCCTTGGGCGTCGGCGTCCGCGCGGGCGGCGTCCGCGAGTTGCGCGCGGCGACGGACGGGCTCCGCGAGTTCTCCTCGACGCAGGTGCCGATCTCGAGGCGGCCGTGGAGGCGCCGGGCCTCGCGCGTCCGCGCGCGGCCGTGGACGTCGAGCGTGATGCGGTCGCGGTAGTCCGCGGGCGACAACAGCACGTCGTCGTCGATGGGGAGGCGCACGGGCCCCTCCGGGTGGTGGGGCTCCTCCTCGCTCCGGTGGAACTCCTGGACCCACGCGTCCTCGAGCGCGGCCTCCGCGGGGAGCCGGCTCCGCGGGTCGAACTTGAGGAGCGACGCGACCAGACCCCGCGCCGCGGAAGCCGCGGGCGTCGCGAGGAAGGCGGCGCCCAACGGCCGCGGCGGCGGCGGCGCGGTCCGCAGGCCCGGCGGCAGCGCGTCCGCGGCGACGCCGACGGCCTCGAGGTCCGCGGCGGACGGCGCGCCGAGGACGGCCCCCACGCGCTCGAGCTGGTCCGCCGTCGACGCGCCGGGCAGCACGGGCTTGCCGTGGTACATCTCGCCGATGATGCAGCCCGTGGCCCACATGTCGATGCCCGCGACGCAGAGCGACGAGCCCAGCAGGATCTCCGGCGCGCGGTACCACCGCGTCGCGACGTAGTAGTCGCTCTCCGTGCGCCGCGCGACGCGCGTCACGGACCGGCAGAGGCCGAAGTCGCAGAGCTTCATGTGCGAGTTCGAGTTCAGCAGCATGTTCGACGGCTTGATGTCGCGGTGGACGACGCCCGCGGAGTGGAGGTACTTCAGCGCCTTCAACAGCTGGTAGATGATGTACTTGTTGTGCACGTCCTCCAGTAAATTCGCCCGGATCACCGCGTGTAGGTCCGTCTCCATGTACTCGAAGACGAGGTAGATGTCGAGGTCGTGCTTCGCGCGGATCACGTGGCGCAGCGTGATCACGTTGACGTGGCCCCGGAGCTTCAGGAGGTACGAGATCTCGCGGTACGTGCGCTGCGAGTCGCTCGAGGAGGCGAAGGCGTTGAAGCACTTCTTCAGCGCGACGACGCGCCGCTTGCCGCGGCGCTCGATGCCCTTCCAGACGATGCCGTAGGCGCCGCGGCCCAGGCGGCCGCAGACGTCGATGCGACGCTGCACGCGCCGCTCGACGTGCTCGTTGCCGTCCGTGAGGGACACGCGCTCGGCGGACCGCGTGGGCCAGTCGGCCGTGCGCGCGCTCGACGACACCTCGCTGGGCGTGCGCAGGCCCGGGTTGCGGTAGGGTTGGGCCCACTCGCTCATGGCGGTTTCCGGCTGTTTTCTTTGGATCGGCGGCGTGGCCGGCGCGCGGCGCGTGGCGCGGCGCGACGTCGGGGTCTGCGAGGCGGTCGGGCGCGCCGGGGTGGTGCGGTTGAGGTCCGCGCGGGGTCGCGCGGCGGCGGGATGCTGCTGCAATCCACGGAGACGATGCCCGAGTAGTCGCCTCGGGGACGCGGAGAGCAGGCTCCTGCAACAAAGGTCGCTTGAAGCGGCGCGGCAAACCTGCAACCGTCGATTGGGCTCCGTCTGCGCGATGGGCAGCCCGTACGAGGCCCTACCGGGCAGCGGCGGCCGCCGCTGGGGCCGCATCGCCGCCGCGGTGGTCTCTCTGTGCGCCCTCGCGGCGATCCCGCGGCTCGGCTACGGACCGTCCTTCGCGCAGCTCGCGGAGGCGACGCCGAATCTCCGCGGCGCCGAAGCCCTCGACAAGGCGCCCGCGCGCGGCGGCGGCGACCCGTCGGCCGTGCAGCTGCCGGACCAGCAGTCCCTCGCCAAGGCGCCGGCCCGCGGCGGTTCGGACCCGTCGCAAGTGCAGCTGCCGGATCAGCAGTCGCTCGCCAAGGCGCCCGCGCGCGGCGGTTCTGATCCGTCCGAGGTGCAGCTCCCGGACCAGCAGTCCCTCGCCAAGGCGCCGGCCCGCGGCGGCTCCGACCCGTCGCAAGTGCAGCTCCCGGACCAGTCGATCCCGCTCGAGTCGCTGCGCAAGAGCAAGAAGAAGCACAAGGAGCGCAAGCACTCCGACTCGTCGGCGCTCCTCTCGTACGACTACTCGTACTCCTACGAGCAGGCGATGGCCGAGCCCTTGGACGACGACGACGGCGACGACGACTCCGACGACTCGGACGACGACGACTCCGACGACGACGACTCGGACGATGACGACTCTGACGACGACGACTCGGACGATGACGACGCCGACGACGACGACTCCGACGACTCGGACGACGCCGACGACGACGACGCCGACGACGACGCCGACGACGCCGACGACGACTCCGATGACGACAGCGATGACGACAGCGATGATGACAGCGACGACGACAGCGACGACAGCGACGACGACAGCGATGACGATAGCGACGACTCGGACGACAGCGACGACGACAGCGATGATTCGGACGACAGCGACGACGACAGCGACGACGACAGCGATGACTCGGACGACAGCGACGACGACAGCGACGACGACAGCGATGACGACAGCGACGACGATAGCGACGACTCGGACGACAGCGACGACGACAGCGACGACGACAGCGATGATTCGGACGACAGCGATGACGACAGCGACGACGACAGTGATGACGACGCCGACGACAGCGACGACAGCGACGACGACAGCGACGACGACAGCGACGACGATAGCGATGACTCGGACGACAGCGACGACGACAGCGACGACGACAGCGATGACGACAGCGATGATTCGGACGACAGCGATGACGACAGCGATGATTCGGACGACAGCGACGACGACAGCGATGACGACAGCGACGACGCCGACGACAGCGACGACAGCGACGACGACAGCGACGACGACAGCGATGACGATAGCGACGACTCGGACGACAGCGACGACGACGCCGACGACGACGCCGACGACGACGCCGACGACGACGCCGACGACGACGCTGACGACGACTTCTGGGACTGGTCGACGTCCATGGTGGACGACGTCGCGAGCAGCAAGAAGAAGTCGCACCACAAGTACAGCAGCTCGAGCTCGGACGCGGCGGAGATCGCGCACCCCGCCGAGTGGCCCGGCGCGACCGCCGCGCTCCCTTCGAAGAAGGGCGAGTGAGCGCCGTCCTAAAGACCCCCTTTTCGACCGCATTTAGCGGGCTCGCTTGGCCGCGGCGATCTTCGCGTAGAGCGCGTCCGCGGCCGCGTCCGGCGGGAGGGGCGGCGCGTCGGGCAGGGGCATGAGCGACGAGATGCCGTCGGCCTTGGTCACGGGCCCCGCGAGGTCCTCGGGGAGCGCCGCGCGGGACACGTCCGCGCCGAGGCTGCCGTCGGGCAGGACCTCGCGCATGGCCACGACGAGCGTCGCCACGTCCTCGGCCGGGTCCGCGTAGGGGAAGCCGTTGTCCGGCGGCCGCGACGGCGCCGCGGGCGCGTCGTCGGCGACGGCGCCGCCGCCGAAGATCGCCGCGAGGTTCGCCGCGCGCGCGCCGTCCATCTCGCCCGCGGGCCGGCCCGCGACGGCCTCGTAGCCGCCCTCGCCGAGGCCGCCCGGGTCCTTCTCGGCCGGCGCCGCCGCGGCCGCCGCGGCCGCGGCCGGCGCGGCACCGCGGAAGAGGCGCGACACCCACGAGGGCTTCTCCGCGGGGCCGTCGCCGCCGAGGAGCGCCGCGCGGTTCGCGGACCGCGCGTCGTCGCCGGCCGCGGGCGCCGCGCCCTTGATGGCGTCGTAGCCCGCGCGGTCCAGGTCCGCGGGCGACGCCGGCGGCGGGCCGGCGGCGCTGAAGAGCGCGTCGAGGTTCGCGGCGCGCGCGTCGCCGCCCGCGGCGGCGCTGTTGCCCTTGATGGCGTCGTAGCCCGCGGCGTCGAGGTCCGCGGGCGACGCCGCGGGCGCGTGGTTCGGCAGGAAGCGCGCGGAGCTCGGGGACACCGGCGCGAAGAACCGGTCCCAGCGGCACCTGGGCAGCAAAAGAGAGATTCAACGTCGCTTCAACGTGAGTGTTCCGCGTGCGCGCGTTCCGGAAAAAGCATCCACGCTTCGAGACCGTTCCGAGAGATGATCGCTCGTCCAAAGATCAGCCAAAACGAGTGGAAAACGGCCGAGATATGAGCCTTTGAAGTTGGGAATTTCGCTCTCTTGTGCTGCCCTGAGCGGCACGCGTCCAAGAGCCGCGCGCCTTCCGCCGACAGCGCCCCGTCCATGGCGTCGGCCAACAGCTCCGCGGCCGCCGGCGCGAGGAGGATGCCGTTGCGCCAGTAGCCGCCGCAGACCCACAGGTTCGTCCACCGCGTGCGGCCTAAAACCGGCGCGCCGTCGACCGTCGTGGGTCTCAGCCCCGACCAGGCCTCGTCGACCTCGAAGTCGCCGAGCCCGGGGCAGAGCGCCGTCGCCTTCGTGAGGATGGAGAGCAACCCGGAAACGTCGTTGTGCGTCGACGTCGTGTTTTCCACCGTCGCGCCGACGACGACGCGGTCGCCCCGCGGGATGACGTAGCAGTCCGCGCCGTAGACGACGCGCCGCGGCGCCTTCTCCGCGATCGCCGCCGTCGGGGCCTTCAGCGCGACCATCTGCCCCTTCTGGGCGTCGACGGGCACGGGCAACAGGTTGCGCAGCCACGCGCCCGCGGCGACGCAGTACTCGTCGCCCGTGAGCACGTCGCCGCCCGCGAGGCGTACGCCGCCGCATGTGCCGCTCCGCTCCAAGTCCAAACCCTCCACGTCCACGCCCGTGCGCACGTCGACGCCCTCGCGCTCGCAGGTGCGCAGCAGGGCGGCGTGCGCGCGCACGGGGTCGACCCACGTCTCCAGCGGGTACCACCAGCCGCCCAAAGCTTTCGGCCCCAAACTCGGCTCCATGGCCCGGAGCGCGGCGCCCTCGAGCCACTCCGCGGGGCCCGCGGCCTCGACGGGTTTCCACGTCCCCACGGGGTCGTTGACGTCGAGGCACGGGCTCACGAAGCCGCCGACGGCGTGGAGCGGCGGCGGGTCGTCGAGCGTCGCGAGCCACGCGGGCCACGCCTCGCGCGACCGCACGCACAGGTCCAGGAGCGGGCCGCCGGGCAGGCGCTCGGCCTGGGGCGCGAGCATGCCGCCCGCGGCGAGCGTCGCCGCCTGCGCGAGGTCCCGGCTCAGCACGCAGACGGACCGCCCGCGGCGCCGCAGCTCCAGCGCCGTCGACAGGCCCGACATGCCGCCGCCGACGACGACGACGTCGTAGGCCGTCGACGAACGGAGCGACGCGCGCGGCGCGGGGGCGCGCAGGGCCGCCGCGCAGGCCGCGAGCGCGAGCGCGTAGATGGTGGGCATCGTTGCAGTGCGCGGCGCTGGCGGCCGGCCGTCCAAGCGGCTGTGCCTCACCACGGCGGCACCTTCGGCCGCTCAAGGCACATTCCAGGCGCGCGCGCGCGCGAGCCGGTGCCAGGATGCGACCGCTCGGCGCAC